TGGGGCTTCCTACCCTGTTAGTGCCATGTGCTGACATTGATCTGTGTGTCTGCATTAGGAGACTTGAGCATACAGAGCTAATGGGGTCTCTTTCTCTGAATGCTGTGGTTGATTTTTTTCCCCCACGACTTGCTGTTCCACGGGATTCACTGAGGCAACACCTCTCAGGCAGGGCCTTTACTCTGCTGCCTCTGGTCCTAGGGTGAATACCACTAGGGATGGGAGTGGATGCCAAGAGGGTGTGGTACGTGCTGCAGTCCTATGTTGCTGTGTTCCTCTGTTGATGAGGGACTCAGATGATGTGAAAACCCTTCCACCTCTTTGATCTGTTTTGATTTTCATGGTGAGCCACGCTAGCATTTTCACTTTCATGTTAGAGATACTTTGTAAAGTCAGAAGACAAGGTCTCCTGAAGACTCAGAGAGAAAGCACAACATAGAGTCACACCTCTGACATTTAGGGATGCAGTAAGTGAAATAACCAGTGTGCTTGTCTGGCACCAAGTTTATGGCCAGAATCCTTATATTTTAAACTTTGAACAAATAATTGTTGCTTCTCATGATGACCGCCGTTATCCCTATAGAATAAGGAGAGAGGAAGGTATCAGTTCTTCAGTGTATTGGGCTGAATAGTGGCCTTATTCCCAAAAAGGGCTTTTGAGCCCTCACCTTCCTGTTACGCCTAAAACTCGGGTAATTTGTTTGGTCATATGTTTCTTCTTACTGCTAAATATGAAGCATGTTCATGGGATTTAGAATCGACGTGGGTGTGCGGCCATTTCTACTGGGTCTCATGTTCTAGCAGGGATGTCTCCTCCATAGACCAGTCATTTAATGCACAAGTCTGTAAAATCTTAAGGAATGTGTCTGACCCAGAGGAGGAAGATAAACTGTTCAGAAAAGCTTCCTAGAGCTTGCTATGCACCCGGTAGGCTTGGAGGCTAGTGGGAGAGCCCACTACACAATGGGAAATAGTGGTGGGGTTTGGTGAAGGGCTGGACTGCCAACTTTGGCTAGAATAGGAATCCCTGTTGATGACATTACAGGTTCATCTGGGACACCACGAGGAAAGATTCTGATAGTCTAAGCAGGAATGATGTGAACAGAGAACAGGATTGATGTCTGAGAAGTCATCCGAAAATAAATAAATAGTACTTACAAGATGAGGTGACCTTGTCAAGAGAACTAGGGAAAGGCAGTGTGGGGGTGTGTTGACTGAGGTTTCTGTCCCACCCGGTTCCCACAGTCATTTATTCCCAACGAAACACACAGAGGTCTACATTAGTTATAAACTGATTGGCCTAGTAGCTCAGGCTTCTTATTAAGTTTTATAGCTTATATTAGCCCATAATTCTTGTCTGTGTTAGTCACGTGGCTTGGTACCTTTTTCAGCAAGGCAGTCACATTTTGCTTAATCTGTGTCTGGCTTCCTCTGTGTCTGGGTGATGACTGCAGACTGAAACTTCCCTCTTCCCAGAATTCTCATCACCCCGCCTCTACTTCCTACCTGGTTTCCCCATCTATACTTCGTGCCTAGCTACTGGCCAATCAACGTTTATTTAAAATACGAGTATGACAGGATACAGACCATTGTCCCACAGCACTCTCCCCCACTTTTTTAAACAAGAACTCTGAATTGAATCTCCTTTGTTTAGCTTTTCTATTGATCATTATCTATAACAACTTGTAACCAACGTTCTAAACAAACGCAAACATCCATAATTCATTTTTTTGGGGAATGTGGGCATGGTTTTCTAGGATACTTCCTGCTGATTGGGGACACTGATAATCTTATGGGGACTTAAAGAAAATTTAGAACTATGATCAAGTCCTTATTGGAGTATCCTAAGGCTTTATCATCTCAGGCAGCAGTCTTTGAACTGTTTTGGATGTAGAACTCAGATATCTGGGCCATTCCTCTTAAAGGAGACTTTTCAGGGGATCTTCCTTAGTCAAACCTGATTTTTCTTAACACAGTATGAATCCACAGTTCCTCATTTCCTGTGGAAACAAAAGCAAACCTCTTATCCAAAGTAACATATCTTTTGACTTAAATTTTGAAGTCAAAACTAGAGCTAATGTGCCAAGCAGCGATTTAATTAATACAGTTTCTGGATGATTATTTCGGGGCTAAGCAGCCATGAACCAACAAGCGGCTCTCTCCTCCAACAGGGGTGTTTCCCAGGGTTTAGGTTGCCACCTCTAGATGGAAAAGTGAAAGTGAGAGTTCCCTGCCTGTGCATGCACAACCCAGTGCACGGGATGTGAAGCTATTTCTCATTGCCCTTGGCTTCACTTCTAATGACCGCCTCTGGCTTGTGGAAGAAGTAATGGTTCCCATGTTTCCTGTCCTGAAGAGAACTGGAGAGTTTTCCTTCTGAGAGTAGCAACAACCTCCTAATTAAGGCTGAGGAGAAAGGAAGGCTTTGCCTCCTGCTGTGCTCAGAAGCCTATTTGTTCACCTCAGTTTACTCATGGGAGAAAAAAGTGGAGCTCTGAGAGCAGAGAATTTTAGAAGCCACAGTACTCCTGATTAGTGTAGCTCCTGCTACAGAGAACCAGGGCTTGCTGACTGCTCAGGGAGAACCTCAGAACAGAATCTTCCAGAAACCTAGGAAACTTCTCTCTTACATTGCCAGTGTAAGAATTGAGGATTTATTTATTTGAAAAAAGAAAAATCTAATTAATCTACAATCAAGCATAAACTGGTCTATGAGAAACTCCAGCCTGAACCTGTGTTTCATTGGGAGCTTCTCCGGACTGAGAAGGGAGAGCCAGAGCTTGGTTCTGACCACGTTTTCACGGAGGCAGGCCTCTTTTATTATGATTGTAGGAGTCACACGGCAGTGGTTTTTAGCAGTGCTTGTGGCCTCTAGACATCACAGCTCTCTGTGGTTAGAGTTGTCACAGATATTTGAAAATGCCAGACGTACTTCGCAGCCTTCAGTTTGCCGCTGTCACCGCGTCCATAGTCTGTGATACAAATCATTGCCTGCAAAACATGCACACATTATTACTGTATCCCAAATTTGGGGTCACTTTTTAAGGTTTTCATAAATGTGCTGCAGAGTAGTCAGTTTTTTAATCCTATATATTACATTTTATGTATTTCAAAAGCATTCTAAGCACATTGTGTCAGATTTTCAGTTGGCCCAAAAAAGATTCGTGGCATACAAACTGTTAATATCCCCCAGCTAAGTTCTTGTACTTGTGGCATATGGCCTCCACCTGGTGGCAGCATACTCCTTAAAGGTTAGATCTATAATCACCAACTGCAAAGAAATTCTAAGCATAATAATATACTTGAATATGGCTTTCAAATTCTTTTTTTTACTGCAGCCCACAAAAAGAAATTGACCTGTTATCATAAATCACACACAGACTTGCATTTCACAAAGCTTCTCAATCTTACCATGTGGTACATGATATTTTTTCTGGCTTTCTAATGTTCTCTTGGATCTCTTTTATTAAAATAAAATTCTGGATGCATCAAACTAAGTTACATTCAGATGACCATAGTACGCATGCCTCATAGGAGGCCATATAATGTACACACAGATTCCGACATCTTACTTACATTTAAAAAATATTTATTGGTGGTGATTAATTTACACATAGTGAGAATAGCAGAACTACTTTTAGGTGTACAACCCAGATTCCCTTCAGGACCCCGTGGTTTCCTGTCACTGAATTTGACTTCTTTGTGTGCCTCTCAGACACTACACTGGCGCTTTACTAAGCAAGGCTCTTGCTGTCATGGAGCCGGAGAGTAGGCATCCATTAGTCGGGGCCTCATTAGCTCGTTGTTTTTGAGATGATTCCATTTTGGCCGTGTCACCATTTTGGTACATGCCATTCCACTGTGTGAGTAGACTACAGTTAGTTTATTTTCCTGTTGCTGGGCCTTGAGTATGTCTTCAATCTGGGTTAGTGTGAACAGAGCTCTGTTGCCTAGGTGAACCTGTAGGGTGGCCTCGTTGGCCTAGTCAGTAATCACATGGCTAGTTGTAGGGAACAGGCAAACCATTTGACAGAGTGGTTCAACCCAGTTCCATTCCCATCAGCGTGTCAGAGTGAACTGCTCCATCTTCTGTCCGTTTGGTATGGTGTTGGTCTTTGTAATTTAAGACCTTCTGCATTTCACGGCTGTAGCTACTGATTGGGAACTGAGTATGACTCTGAACAGTGATGGTGAGCACTCTTTCATGTTCAGGCATCTATTTTTCATATTTGTGGTATCTATTCCAGCTTAGAATGTAAAAAAGTCTACCAGTCCATGGAAGTTGTTTTCCTATTTTGGATACCAGTCCTTCATGGCAGACATGTGTTTGTGAGGGCGTTTTATCCCGTTTGCAGCACACACAGTATTCCAAACTGGTGGTATTGCTGATGAGCAAATATTTCTTCTTTTGATCGTGTCCCATCGTGTCCAGCTTTGTCAACAATTTTTCCTTCAATGTTTTGTATTTTCTCGCTCACACATAAGAAATCCTTTCCTGCCTCTACGATGAGAATAATAGTTTTTGGTTTTCATACTTAAGTCTGTAATCTATCTCAAGTTAAATTTTGTGTCTGGCAGATGCCAGGAGAGTTTCATTTTCTTTCTGTGTTTGTATCTGATTGATGCTCTCATACCATTTGTTAAAACTGTTTTCACCAAAGTTTAAAGCAGAAATCAAAGATCTCCTTAGAGATTTATAAACGTGACTTTCCTACAGGTCTACAGACTGAAGCTCTGGGTCTCTTGGACATCCCCAACCTGTGGTCCTGGTTATACATTTTTTCCTTTCCAAAATGTTCATTTACTATTATCTTGGGAATCGCAACAATGACTCCTAAGGTGTGACAATCTTAAGGTTCCAGTCTATCTGTGTCTGGCTACATCTCCTCATGAGATCCGTGTGCCTGTTGTGGAGTTTGTGAGATTCCCTGCAGTTTTCTGCTGGGCATGAGCTGCAGACACATTCTGCTGTTAATAAGTATTCTCCCCTTCTCTTTCAGTGTGGAAATTTTGCTGTCCTCGTGGATCTTCATATAGTGCCACAAGGTCCAAACAAAGATTCCAGTTGGTTTTCAGAGCAGAAGAAAGAGGTACAACAAAGAAATTTTGTTCTTTAAACACTACTTCTTATTGTATCTGCTGGAAGAAGTCTCAGCTCCTCTCAGCTTTCATTTTCATTGGTGTTTTTTTAAAAAGTTGAGTGGTAGTTAGGATAGTTAGGAGTATCCCCAGTGTCAAGTATACATGTGTTCCCACCTCTGCCCTTGAGAAACTGACACAACCATGTTTCATATGCTAATCTTTTGTTGGTGTGTGTGTGTGTGTGTGTGTGTGTGTGTGTGTACGTGCTTGTGGTGTTAGAGATCGAATCTAGGACTTTTACGTGCTTGGTAGGCACCTCGCCATCTCTATGTCCTCATCCCAGGCTCTGTTGTTTAAACCAAAACTCTAATACCCTTTACTTTGGGGAAAAAGGTCCTCAATAATAAAAAGGGAGGAAAAAGAAGCCAAACTATTCCAAGCAAGCAGGGATTTTGATCTGAGTGGTGAGAAAGCCGGCAGCACCTGGAGCAGTTGTGGAATTCACCCAAGGCTAATCTCCACATCTGTACTAGTCCTTACCTCCATCTTCGCCTCTTCTCATTCTCATGAGCCTGTGACAAGGGAAGAGGAGCTTCATTCTTCCCCCGCTGCTGCTGGCCTGCCAGTGAAGCAGATAGTTGGTATGGATGGATTGAGTCTGAACAACACGGGCTTGGAGCATGTAGGTTTGCTCTGCTAATACATGAAATTTTAGGAGAATTTGAAAAGAAAAAACTGTTGGGTAGACTTCATAGCCTAGAAATATTGAAATGTTTAAGTACAATTATTTTACTGTTTGCTACCAACATTTGCTGCCGTTGATTAAGCTCTAGAGTGGTCTCAATTGTGAGGGTCAGCCTGAAACTGGGTGAGCTGCTGTTGCCACATGAGCAGTTTGTCCTTTCACTAAATTGCATGCCAGAGTACACAAAAATCTCCACCATTCCTAAGTACTTGTTTAACCATGTATAATGCAGCTAAAACAGAAAAGGTATCACTTAAGTATTTTTTTTTCCATTAGTAGGACGTTCCAGTCAATAGTTAGCTATTTATTAAAGAGATGGCTCATTCCTGGGGACCTGAGATGAGTTCCCAGCACACACATATGCACAGACACACACATCAGAATCTTTAAAACCAAACAAAACCCGGTTATTAGTAGTTAAGTTACAAGACAGTTACCAGTTATTCTTGTTTGCAAGGATTGGTTCTATGATATCTGACCTTTCCACGAGCTTCCGCCTTCTCTGTCTTCAAATTAATGAGTTTGACCAGATAAAGCCTCAGTCTCCTGTGGTTTCAGTCCCCTCTCTGTGAGCTCCTGTGAGGAGAATCATTGTTTCCTTCGGTAGAGATCAGGGACAGGTACCAAGGCAGAGGCCTATTCAACAGTTTCCTAGCAGGCCAGTTGGATGTCGCTATGGGTAAAGTGCCTGCAACCCAGTACTGACCTGAGTTCAATTCCCATGACAAGAAAGGTGGGAAGAGAGAACTAACTCCGACAAGTCATCCTCTGCCCTCCACATGTACACCAGGTCGTGTGTGTGTCTGCACAGCTGCACACGTATGCACTACAAGTCAATGAGTAAGCGTAATTTAAAAACCTTCAAAACACTGTTCTTCATTTCCTCCATAGTATTTGCCTGCTGCCATTACTGTTTGAGAGGTAAATAAGCGTGAACTGTATTGAGCAGTAGTGCTGAATGGAAACAGAACAGTAGCAGTAGAGGGAAACTGCTGTTTGTGACCAGTGTTCACATCGCTAAAACCAACCTACCCACGCGTACATTATTTTTAAGAGTACATTTTCAGTAAAATGGTAGTACCACCAGTACCTGTGGCCATTATTTTGCAAGGATGCCTAGTGACCTAATGCTGAGAAGACACAGGTTTTGTGAATTTCTCATGAGGGAAATTGACTATGTGCTGTCCTCTTGAGGACTTTGTGTATAGCAGGTTAGGACTTTTCTCCACTGTTCTCTTTCTTATAATCTCAAATTTTAGGTCACCAACACGTGTCCACATGATTCAAATTAGAGCATTCTTTCCATCAAAGTGACTAATATTTCACACAAGGGATCTTGCTTTGCTGACTTTGGAAAGGTTCTCAAGTCTACCATTTCAGGCCCTAGCTCTCCCATGTTCTTTTGCAGCTTGAAGACTTAATCTGTAGACCTTAAATATTGATTTTTAGGCAGTTTTGACCAAGAAATGGTTGATACGGAATGCTCTAGAGCCAAGAGTCAGCTCCACTAGGAAGCGCAAGGCTAGATTTCTTGTCAAGTGCCACATGCAGCCATGTTGTTCCAGTGAGTGTCTATTCCGGGGCAGTGAGGCATAACTTAGCAGAGGTGCATGAGGGAACCTGCAGAGAGCTCCTTCAGTGGTGACTGCAAGAGGCCTGCTTGCCCTACCGAGCTGATCTTTCCTCTCCAAGAAAAGCTGCCACCTCTACTTTGAGCAGTTCCTTCAATTTATGTTCGTTGCTCTTCGAGTCAGTCAGAGATAATTTATGTCTGTGTCCTCAAAGGGAGATGTGCGGACAGCTTATGACCTCACATATTCTCAGTCAGTGCTTCCTTGTTTTCCATTTCTAGATCGCCCCATGGGGCGATCTAGAAACAACCAGCTCGATTGCATTTTAACAGGCGCTTTGTATGAAAACAGGGCTGGGCCATATGTTAAACATGCATTTGTATGTTAAACATATGTTAAACATGCTTTGTATGAAAAGAGGGCTGGGCCATATGTTAAACACGCGTTTCATTCAAGTCCAGCTCATGTAGTCATTGGAGTGAAGGAGACAAACTGAAGTTGTCCCGTATGTGAACTTGAGGAAGCAGACAGAAGCCCTGTTAGCACAGGGAGGTTGTGCCTGTCTCCTGCCCGCTCATGGGTACTTTACTTGGTCCTCTCACCTTCCTCTCAGATATTGCTGGCTGTTTTCTTCCCTGCATTGCTCTAGGCCTGTTGAGGATGCTTTCCCAAGCCCGGCTGGATCAGTTCTTAGGTATCCGTCTACTCCGCACATTGCCCATCTTCAATCCCTGAAACCTGATTCCCATAAGGAACGCCTGGGATATAGTGAGAAACTTCATGTGTATGGGCTCTATTTTTGTCTAGCTATTTTTAGTTCTAGCCTTATAGGGTATTTATGGCCAAATTTTAGCAATCCTTGTTGCCTTTCGTGTCTTCCACATATTTTCTAGCTCAGTCATACTTGAACCCTGCATGTGAAGCAAAAATCATTTAATTGCTAGAACAACAGTACGAGGCCAGGCTGCCTTTGTGTTGTGTGAGCAGTGCCAAGCATTCAGCTGTAAATGCTATCTTTATATTCCACATTTAGCTGCAAATAAAAAGAAAGAGGAGACCGGCATTTGCATTTTATGTAGAAATGTCTATGTTTGTGTTAAATCAAGGATTTTATATCCTGTTTAAGGGGTATTTGCAATAAAGGAGCGAGCAGCCAAAAACCTGGTTCATGCTGTAATTAGGAAGAATCTCAGTGATTAACCTGTGCTGGCTTTCTGAGAAATAAGTGGAACAAGTTTGAGGTGACCAGAACAACTCTGAATCTGCTACAGAACTGCTGGAAATTGATCTAGGATCTCTCTTAGTTTTAAAGTATCTGTCCTATATGTAGCTTCCCCTGATTTCTTAAGGTAAACTACATTTTTCTGGTAATGCAGGAAACACTACACAAAATAGTGATACCCACTGTACATTTGGATTTCTGAGTTATTTATTTTGTTTCTGTTCTTTGCAAATATTACATGCCAACTGATATCTCTAGAAATTAATAATAATACTGCATGCTGAAATTGAATTCAGGCCTGGTTCGGCTACCTAGTAATATCTACACCAGAGACATGAGAAGTTACTTTCATCATTCATGAATGAAGACTATTAATGTGATTTTGGAAAGTAATTGGGTCTACGACATCATCACAAGAGTGAGAAGGTCATACTGCCCCTCCCTGCTTCTCTTTAACCTACCACTCTGATCTCTTGTGTTTGTAAACCCAAGGCCAGAAACTAATGAATGATGCTGTTTACTCAGCAATAAAATTTGAAAAATAAATCTGAACCATGCTGGAAAATGTAAGTTTCTGGCTGTTCTTACACAAATAACATCAGGTAACACTTTATCTGCAGGCAGAACAAGAGTGCAGTGGGATAGTAGGGCCAGAGCTAGTGGCCTCTGTGACCTGTCCCCATGCCACCCATCCTGACTATAGGAGTGTTCTTACACTCCTTTCTGTGTCTCTGAGTACCCCTGAGTCCCATGCTGAACCGTGTAGAAAGCTCCATGGGATTTATCCCCTCCATCCATCACAGTGTGATGGACTGATACTTACATGAAAACATTCTTGAAGCTGTACCCTGCTTTTGAAGTAAGCTTTTAAATCTTTCTTTGGAATTGTGAAACTGAGGCAGAGAGAGAGCCAACACCAGCCGTGGAGCTGTCTTTGATACCCCATTTTCTGTGCACTGCACTCCAGAAGGCTGTACAGTGTTCCTTTCTGTGTTCACAGCTAGGTTCAAAAGCTAACTAAATGCCAGCATTTGCCTTTTCAGTTTGTATAATCTTTTCTTCTTTGCATTGCATTAAACTTGATATGTCTGTTGTTTTAAATTTACTTTAGGAAGTTTGTTTGCTGTTAAAAGAAACCATTGATTCCAGAGTTAAGGAGTACGTGGGCATTTATAAACAGCACAGGCCATCAAATGCAGAATTCACAAGATCCAGTCCCTTGTCCTTAAAAGGTAGGCAACAAGCTCTGAGATTTTGGACAAAGAAAATAAAATTTCTGCTTTGTAGAGATTGCAATTACATTTGACTCTGTTGTGTTAGCATAGTGATACATTGAAAAAATATGCTGTAAAGAAGATACTGTGTTTGAGTAACAAAAATTCGCCAAAAAGCCTTAAAGGGCTTTTAATGGAAGGCAAAATATATAAAAATAGCAAGTAAAACATTCTTAAGGAAACTGTAAAATTTTAAAGGTCTGTTTTGTTTTTTTGACAAATAATCTTACAAATGGATTTATATTAATACTGACATAAGTTGATTCAGTGTCTTATGCTTTAAAAGTGTTTTCCCATATGTCACTCTATTTCAGATGTTCTCAAACAGGAGCAGTGTTATTCCCAGGGGGCATTTGGAGATGTGTGCAGAGAGTTTTGGTTGTCATTACTGGCAAGGGGTGGGATGTTGGCCCATTGTTGGTAGAGACCAGGGATGACATTATATTCACAGAACGCAGAGCAACCTTTTCATAGCAGGCTACTAGCTCCCAAACCTAAAGGGCACCATCTCTGAGATTCTATCTGTGATGGCGCAGGTGAGGAAACAAGAGTCTGTAGGTTCAGTGGCTTGATCAAGTACAGGGTCGTCTCAGGACAGAGACTGGGGCTTATTTAGTGCCTTCCCCTCATCTGTCCCCAGTGCTTAGCTTGGTGGCTGTGATAGTGATGTAGGGGCATACTGAGTGAGAACCCTCGTAAGGGATGAGTGGCAGAGCTCAAATCCAGACTTAGCTCCTGTGGCCTCCACCCCAAGTTTTTTCTGTTTTCTGTCGTCTGCTTTGATTTTCTGTTTTGTTTTCATTGTTTATTTCTCACTTAAAATCAGCATTTCATAGAAGCCTGTGGTACAAATACAGTGATAGCATGGTAATTATCAGACTACAGTGGGTAGACGATTGTGAACCCCGTTATGCTAACAGCACACCTGTTTAAGAAAAATACTGAATTATGTATTTCTCTGAACCTTTCTTGATCCTTTTATAGATGATAAATAAACAAGTAGTTTTTGTCACCCAAACTGAAAGTCTTAAGAAAATGACATTTTCAAACCAAACAATGTTGCTTCTCAGTGACTACTAACCTATGGGTCTGGACCTCACGGGAGTTCTGTATCAGATATTTAAATTATAATTTGCAACAGCAAAATTACAGCTATGAAGTAGCAACAAAACATTTTATTTGGGGGGGGTCACTGCCATATGAGGAACTGTATTGAAGAAATAGGAAGATTGAGAACCACAGCTTTAGATGATGCTCTCTGATTTGCCACTCAGTGTTGTTAAGAATTTTAAGTAGACCTGGCCAATCTCACATTTTATCTGGTGCAACAGGAAAAAGAATGGAGCCAGATTCTAAGACTCCTATCTCTGTCATAGGTGTTACAGTAGGTGGCTTGATCAGAATTCAAGCCAACCTTTCCATTCCCATCCCAGCTCTGACTGCTGAGGGAAGAGACTAAATACTCAGTACCCAGATTCTCTCACAGACAGTTCTGGTCCCAATATGGCAAGAAAATGTCCTCAGGTTTGTGTGAGAAAAAGGTTTATTGATTTTTTTTTAACAGAGAAAGTGATCTTATTGTGTATACAATTTTGTAACCTTTCCATATCACCATTAAAAACTGTTGTTGTAAAATGCAGATAAAACTTACTGTTCAAAAACTTTCAAGTGTACACTTTTGGCAGAATAAATATGCACATATTTTCGTACAGTTATCACTTTTACCAATCTCCAGAAGTTTGGAACTCTGCAGGCATGGCTAATGTGTCCTCATCCTCTTGCCCTGGTCATGGAGGTCTCACTTTCTGACATTTTTGTTCTTTCTACGTCAGTGTCTCGTGAATGAAGCCATATAATGTCTGTCATTTTATTCTCTGTGTTATTTCCCTTACAGTTACATTTTCATCATTTTTACAGCTGCATTTATCACAATTTCTCATTTTGTATCATCTTCCAGTATATGTCACAGTACCTGTTCATTCATCTACTGACAAAGTGTTTCCATGTTTTGGCTGTTATGAACATTGTTGTTGCAAACACTCATATGCAAATTATCTTTTCAAGCTTTTTGTCTCTTTTGAATATAAATTTGGAAATTTTTGGATCACGGGGTAGTGCAGGACAATTGTCTATATTCTATCAATTATGTTTTAAATAAATGTTGATTGGCCAATATCCAGGCAGGAAGTATAGGCGCTACAACTAGACAGAAAGTAGAAGCGGGTCAATGAGAATAGGAGAATTCTGGGAAGGAGGAAGCCCATTCCTCCCCAGTCCTGTCCCAACCACAGAAGAAGGAAGATGTGATTGTTCTTCTGAAAAAGGTACCAAGCCATTTGGCTAATAGATAAGAATAATGGGTTAATTTAAGTTATAAGAGTTAATAAGCCTGAGCTAATGGGCCAATCAGTTTATCATTAATATAGACCTCTGTGTGATTTCTTTGGGGCTAAACGGCTGTGGGACCTGGTGGGAGGACAGAACCAGGCAGGACAGAAACCCAGACAACAATGGGGTAATTATTTTGATTTTGTTTCTGAGGTTAACATACTGTTTGCCACCATGACTGCATCATTTTTACATCCTCACCAGCATGAGGGTTCCATTTCCCTACATCTTTGCCAACCCTTATTCTTAATATTTTGATAATAGCCATCTTAATATATGTAAAGCAATCTCTAACTCTGGTTTGTTTTGTTGTTTTTGTTTTGTCAGTTCCCTCGTGATTAGTGACACTGGCCATCTTCTTATGTATTCATTGGTTATTCATATGTCTTCTATGAAGAAATGCCTCTATGCCTAGTCCATTTTTAACTGGGCTTTTTTTTTGGGGGGGGGGAAGGGAGGTTGTTGTTGGAAGGCTTTGTATATTATGCATATTAATTCCTTATTAAATATGTAATTGGTAAATATTTTTGCAAATTTTCTGGTTTGTCTTTTCCCTCTCTTGATGATTTACCCTGGTGCATAGATTGTTTTGAATGTGATAAAGCCAGAATGCCATTTTCTTCCTTTGTTCCCTGTGATGCTATGCCTATGGAAGTCTTCTTCAAGTCCTGTCTTGTTAAACTTTTCCTCTAAAAGCAGAAGTTCTATGAAATTTTAAAAATTAGCCATTTTATTTAGGAACTTGACCCCATGTGAGTTACTTTTTATATGTGAATTAAAGTTAAAACCCACTTTCATGTGGATGTCTTGTTCTCTTAGTATCATTTGTTAAAAGACTACTTTCCACACTGAATGGGTTTGGTAATCTTGTCACTAATCATTTGAGCGTTGATGCCGGTTTATTTCTGAGCTTTCTCTTCTGCTTCAGTTGTTTGTGTCTGCCACTGGTGCCAGTGCTGCAGCCTCTTGATATGCTATAGCTTTGTGGTAAGTTTTGAAATCAGAAAGCTTAAGTCTTGTAATTTGTTACTCTTTTTCAAGATTGTTTTGACTTGTTCCAGGTCCACATTGCTATTTTGATGACTGCAAAGTATTCTATTAAATAACGTCAGTGCTCTTAATTTATTGGTAGAATTAGATTGCATCTGATACTGTTCTGAAGAAGAGTACAGTTAACATTCTAGTAATACACATGCTTGTAACTTCAGAGTTGGATTTCATGTTTATAGTTTTGTGGACTTATGAGGAGAGAGAGAGAGAGAGAGAGAGAGAGAGAGAGAGAGAGAGAGAGAGAGAGAGGTTGTTACTCGGGCCACATAGACTCTGAAAGTGTTCTACTAGCTGTATGAGCTACAGCTTTTTCTTTTCCTTTTCCTTTTTTTTCTGAGCATGATTACCTGAGTTGTTCAGAGTCCAGGCTAGCCCCAAACTTGATATCCTTGTTTCAGCCTCCCAAATACTAGGATTACAGGCATGCACCACACCCAGCCTAGAAGAGCTCTTTAAAGATATTGATGGATGTGTGTTTAAGTATGTTGAGTGTATGTCTGTGTATACAAGTGTGTGCAATCATGCACGTGGCAGCACAGGGCTGATGTCAGGAATTATCACTGTCTGCTCTTCTGCCCCATCCTTTGTGTCCAGTTGTCTTAGTTGAACCCAGAACTCATTGGCATGACTGCTCTTGCTCTAGGGATCCCCTATCCTCATCTTCCCAGGCAGGCATTCTAGGGAGGCAGTTGTGCCCACTGGCATTTACATGGGCTGTGGGATCAGAATCTTTGTGCCATGCTTGTGCAGGAAGTGCTTTAATCCCCAAGCCATCTCCCAGTCCCCTGCAAATGACTTCTCTGTTATCATCTGCTCTTGACTTTCTCTAGTTGCACAACAGACCAGGTCCTCTGTGCTTTGTGTAGCCCCTGGTGACCATTAGTGGTATAATATTGCATTTAGTGTAGTGAGATGATAGTATAACCAGAGGAAACCAGGATGGTGCTAATAGAATATTTCATCATTCACTCTTTGAAAGTAAGCTTTATAGGAAAGCCCCATGCTTTGTCTCTTCTCTCATTCTAACAGCCTTTGAGCGTATCTGTTGAGGGTCACTCCATGGCCAGTGTCTTTCCCTGTAGCCACCAGCCGGTCTGGATTCCCACTTCACCTGGACCGCTGTAGCAGGAACCCCTCTGGCTTCCTTCCATATGGTCAGTGTGCCACCTTCTGTCCATACTGTAGTCGGGTCATCCCTTAAAATCTCATGTCTGCTCTTGTGAAGATCTGTAGAAACCCATTCAGGATATCCTCGGGGTCTCTAAGATAAAGGCCAAGTCCCCTGGGGTCCTGCACGTTTATTTTCCTTCTTGTTTAAATGCCTTTAATTCTTTTCTTGTAATGTTTCATTGTCCTGGAGCCGTTGCTCAAATTAGAGCCTCGTTTTCCCTATTCTATGTTGTCTTCAGCTCTCTAGTCAGAGTTCACTCAGGACAGTCATCCTATCTGTAGATCACAAGTACCCTGAACTTCACCTTCTACCATTGATAAACATCTGTCTTTCCACACATGTGTGAGCC